AGAGAGAGAGAGAGATTGTGCGGAGAAATTGATATTGGGCAGAGAGAGAGTTTTTACCGCTAGATAAGGATAGTTTAGTATTTAAAATATTAACTTTTTGACCGGGTGTGATATTAAGAATATTGGAGGAAGAAGGTCTACAAAGTACAATTTAGGAGGATATCTATAAAAATTTTATTATTTATTTTTAAAAATAGCTCTGCCATTGCCAATTCCAAGCCTAGACGAAAAAGAAGAATAATTGATAGGTTCACAATCAACATAAAATATTTACAACATTTGTACCAAGAATCCATATCTATAAATGATCTCAAATAGTAGGATAAGACTGTTATGATGATGATGATGATGATTTATTTTTAGAAAAATTGTTCCATGCGGGTTGGACCGTATTTCTACATACGTGGTCCAAAAAATGTAAAGCATCCATCTTAAAGATGGATGCAAGTAGGTGTTCTATTTAAAAACAATGGAAACTAACAGTTCAAATGTTTCTTACTAGAACTATTATTTTTAATTTTGAAAATTTATTTATTTTTTCATATTTATGATTTTCATGTTAGATATTACATGTCCTTAAAAATTAAGCTTTAAAATCCATCTCAAAAATAGATTTATTAAGAGGCCCGTATTTCTACATATGCGGGCTGGGCCGCATAGAAATCGGGTCCTATATTATACAAACCAGCCTCACCCAAGATCTATTTTGCACTTCAGAGAAAAAGGAAATGGACTTGTTTGGTATTTTACGAGATGATCATGGGTGGTTATGTCCCGTTTTGCTAGAATAAGAATTTTTTTTTAAAATGGCTGGAATGTAACGGGAAGGGAGGTCACATGTCGGCAACAGGCAAAATCAAGGGTTTGTTTTCACCTGTGCTTGTTGCTCCTCTTCTTCTTCTGTTTCAAACCCGAAATTCTTCAAACCCCTTACCCTAATTTTCAGGTACTCTTCTGATCCGTTTTCCTCTTGTTCTCTTCTCTCTAGCGGTGTTCTTTTTTGCGCAAAGTGTTTCTTATGGTCATGGAATTGGAGTTTCTGTTAATTGGTGCGGTCTCTGGTTTCAAATTCTGAAAAAAGGGCCATGATCCAATTTGGAAATGACCCAATTTTGGTTTTCTTTTTCAAGAGAGAGCTGAATTTAGTCTGAATTGCACGGTACTGGGTTTGGTTTTTCTGTTGATTTATTTAGTTTTGATGCATTCTTTCTTCATTGACCGATCTGAGTTTCTGTTTAGGGGACTGCGACATTCTTCGTAGTTCCTGATTACTTCGAATGTAATGCTTCAAGCTTATCAAATAGACCTATTTTGAGCTTTTTAAATAGGTATATATTTCCCTGATATTGAAATCCATTTGATTTAATTTACTGGGCTTCGATCTCATTTTTGGAATTATAGTCCAATTGGATTTGTTCAGGACGTCAATTGGCGTACCTGATGTTTAAATTTTCTCTAACAGTCTCAAGTTTAGATATAAATTGGATTTTGGTTAGATGGGTTATTTGTGTTTTGGTTGGTTGTTTGCTATTGTAAACTCCTGATCTGGACTTCTGAATTTGGTTTATATATAGTTTTTTTTGTCAACCGCACAGTTCAAGCATTCTGTAATTTTTAGAAGTATTTGTATGGAGATTAGCTAAATGTAATCTTCTTTGCTTTGTTTCTCTTTCAACTGCTGTGAATTGCAGTGTGATAAAGGGGGAGTCGTAAACTGAGAAGGACTAGATTTGGATAGGCATCTCTTTCATTTCCTATGGCTTCTCCTATGGAGGACCAATCAGACGAGGATTTCTTCGACAAACTTGTAAGCGACGAATATGGAATCACTGGATCTGATTACCCGAATGGAACTTTAGCTGGGTCCAGTTCAAGTTTTGCTGAAGTTGTCGATGCTGATGAAACCGATCTCCCTGACAAAGCATTTTCAAAGCTAAGTCTCAGGGAAATGGAGTCAAATGGAGGGTCACATGAAGCGCTTGGGGATTGTGTCGGTATGGCACCAGATGTTCCTGTAAAGGATGTCTTGGTTGCAGAGGAGAGTGTCTGTCTCAAGACTTCAGATTCATCTGCTCTGGGTGCATTTGAGGAACCAACTAGTTTGGTCTCACCCCAGTTGGGGTTCGAGGCAAATGGTGGACTCGATCCCAATGACGTGAAGCCTGGAAAAGGCAGCAATGGCAACCATACATCTGTGAAAGAAGTACAATGGAGTAGTTTTTATGCAGAACCTCATCAGTCGGATCCCAGTGGGCTCAGTTCATACTCTGATTTCTTCAGTGAATTGGGATCAATGTCATCAGATCCCGTTGGGGGTTCAATAGATGGTATTTCACAAAAAAATTATCCATCCAAAGTCAATCCCATCCTTGATAAGAAGCATTGCCAAGGCACTTCTTTTAGAACCTCTGGTTATCAGGACAATTCTGGGCCGTTTGGAGAAAACCCATCTTCTTCTATTAATGAGAATGAACTTGGTCCTTTTATTTCGTCCTCTGCATTGAAACAAGAAGGAAGCAAACCAGAGTTAGATCATTGGAGTTCTTCCAATATTGGTGAGGTCCAATCTGATGATGTCAATAATAACAGTAATGCGAATGCTGGGCAAGATTTGTATAGTAGTCAGTGTTGGGAAAGTCATTATCCTGGGTGGAAATATGATCAAACCACTGGAGAGTGGCATCAGATAGATGGTTATGATCTAAAAGCATCCAATTCTGATGGAACCAGGGCAACTAACCAAGATAGTGTATCTAATCAGGACTCTGCAAATGGCTCAGAGGTTTCCTATTTACAGCAAGGGTCTAACTCTATTGTGGGAATTGTCAATGAAGAAATGGGTATCACAGGCAATGTTTCTAGCTGCAATAATTTCTCTCACAGTGGTTCAGAGTACCAACAAAATATGGTGTTTGATCCTCAATATCCTGGGTGGTATTATGATCTACTTGCCCAAGAATGGCGCCAATTGGAATCATATAGTCAAGAAACTCAGACAAATACAATATCAGCCGACCATGTCTCCATTCATCAGCAAACTCAAGGTGAAATTGGTTTGGGCTCCAGCTCTAATGCTACTGAAATTTTGGGCAATAGTGAACAATGTCATGTTCAAAATGGGTCTATGATTAGTTATTCTCATGGTAAAGATCAAGTTCATGCTAGTATTCTTCCGCAGAATACGTGGTATCCTGAACAAATTTCAAATAATGGAACTCTAAATAGTTTATCTCAAGACCGTTTTGGCAGTGAACAGTTTCTTGGTCAGCAGGATTCGTATAATTCAACAAATAAAACTGAGAAACAATTTGGTTTTGGCACAGTTGAAACTGTTCCCTCTTATGGTTCCTCAAATTACAATTACAATATTAGTCACACTGGTGCTATGTTGCAGAGTTTTGTCAGTGCAGAGAAATCTTATCAATTTAGCAATATGGTGGTGGGGCAGAACCAGCAAAAGTATTTCAGTGGTGATTACTATGGTGAGTGGAAGGCAGGAATGGATTTTTCCCAGTCACCAATTCAGACTGGCAATTCAATTTATGAGGCATCTTCTTATGGTTCGATAGGAGGGAGAATATCATCAGGACGTCCTCCGCATGCCCTCGTAACTTTTGGTTTTGGTGGGAAACTTGTGATTATGAAATCACCAAGCTCTTCATTTGGGAGTCAGGTGAGTTTTTAGGAGCCCCATTTGGCTACTTTGCTTCTCGCGATCATGGACTAGTGAAACTTGCTTACTATATTACTCGAGAGAGTCAGAACATGTATTGACGTGCACACTTTTTTTTTTTAATTGGCTATTAAGATTATACCTTCATCTTTGTTAGGTGGACTTATGTTTGGTCTCTGCTTCTAACATTTTCACAATGTGTGCTTTATGTGAAGGACCCAGTAGGTGGCTCCATTTCAATTCATGACTTATTGGATGTTGTTCTGGATAAAACTGATGTTGCTAATGGTGGGAATGGTGCATGTGATTACTTCAATGCCCTATGCCAACAATCCTTCCCTGGTCCACTTGTTGGAGGAAGTGTTGCCAATAAGGATCTGTACAAATGGATAGATGAGAGGATTGCAAATTGTGAAACATCCTCAACGTATTTTAGGAAAGGAGAGCTTCTGAGGATGCTAGTATCTCTCCTGAAAATTTGTTGCCAATATTATGGAAAGCTGCGGTCTCCATTTGGCACTGATTCGGAATCACAGGTAAAATGGCTGTGTAGATGTCAGTATTTCACCAATTATGGTTTTACATTTTCTTTCTTCTTTCTCTCACCTTTTATTATAAAAACTTCAAATGCTGAGGTTTATACTTTTTGAGTTTTGGATGTAGAATTTGAAGAAGAAGTATGAAATGAGTCTTTCCAATATTTTTATATATTATGTTTCTTTTGTGTGCATGTGTATGTTTGCATCGAATTTTTCCTGTGTGCAGTGAACAGGTCCATAGGGGAAGGTGTTGGAATTTGGATAGATCAGTGGATATGACGAGCATCGTGGTTTTATTCGGATATATGTATATGTTCCTCAGAATTATTTACAATTTCATTCCTTGATGTCTTGAGAAATACATATTTGGATAGTTAACATATTCAAAAAAAAAAAGAAAAAAAAAGAAATGCATATTTGGATGATCGTCAAATTTGTTGCAATCTTGTTGACTAATATCTTGAAAACCAAGTGGCTAAGTCATTATGTGCAAATCTAAATCCATACCATGAAAATACAAAATCATTCTCAAACTTCTTTCTGCTACATACCACTTTTTGAGCTTTGTAGCCTCCTGTGTTGGAGGCATATGTGCTTGGTCCCCATGAACCTTCTGGTTGGTGTGCTCAATGCAAGATAAATGTCCATTTTCCATCCAGCCAAGGTTGTCTGCCTCGAAATTCATGATAGATAGTCTTGGTAGCACATGTAACTTGGGTGAACTTAGTCTAACAATGTTCAAAATGGTGATGTTTCACTCGTGGGAAACCCCTCTTGTACTTGGGAAACCCCTCTTGTACTTGCATGGTAACATTTACGTGCTTTCCTCCTATAGGAGTTTGTCTTTTCCTGATTAACACCCCTCCAACTTCCTAAGGATCCAATATGTAGATTTGTTCACTGATTTAAAAAGTGGCCCCCGGAGGTGGGCCTGGGCCTATCGCCCCCGCCTAGGCGGCCCTTCTGGGCACTGAGTCCCAGTGCCTTCCCAGGGGTAAAAATTCCCCTTGTGGAGGGGCATTTTTGTCCTTTCCCCCCTAAATAAGGGGGGAAATGGGGGGCTTAGGTTCTTATGTGACCTAAACCCCTTTTATGGCTAGAAAATCTTGAAAAAAAACCACATTTCTCTAAGAGATCTTGAAAAACTTGAAAAAAAAAAAAAGAAAAACTTGGGCTTCCTTGATATCTGGGGGCTAATAGGTGCTGGGTGGCAAGGGCCCCTCTGGCCGCCTAGGTGCTGCTTGCATTTTTTGGAACATTGGATTGATTTTTCTGGAACCAGGTCTCCCTCATCCTGTAGTTCATAATTAGATGACACTTTGGGTCATGCGGGGATGCCAGTTTACTAGAATTTGCGATAGGGATACATTGACTTGTAGTGCCCTATGAAATCTCTATTTCTGGAATATTGTTGACACAGTTTTGGAATTTGATCCAACATATCTCCCAGCTTGTCAATCTATGTATTCTACCGTTTGTAATTCAGATACCGGTTTAAAGATCAGAATGACCACGAAAACTACAGAAGCTTAGTGAAATAAGTAGAAAACACTATTCCTAAATGCAGACCCTGATCAGCGTGGGATAAACCATTACAGAACCCAGTCCTAGTAACAATGATAGGGCCATCCAGAGATTACCACAGTTGAGTTCGGAGGATTGCTGGCTTGTAGGTACCTGGGATTTTAACATGGTAGAAGCCATGGTCCTTGACCAATCTATGGAGATACATATACACAAACAATGACAACAACAATAATAACAATAACTGTAACAATAAGTCAATAACTGTTACAAGGTGTGGTTTGTGTAAGGCTGAGGCACTAAACAATCAAAGTAAGGTGCGCCTTCAAATAGTGTCGAAAGATGTCATTTCAGCACCAAAAATCTTTATAATGGATTGAAAATTTATTTTCATCTCTAGTTATGAAATTTCTAGCTTAAAAAATAGTGCATATCAAGCAGACCTATGAACAATTGACGATCTTGAAAATTGATGGTCTAGTTAACGCATTACAAGATGCACTATTTTCAAGACTTGAAGTCCATTTTTTTTATGTCCATGTATCTCAAGGTCAAGATGATCGGATCTGAGGATTTCTCAGCATCGAAACTTCTTCTACTGATATTTTGAGGTGCGCCTTAATTTGTTTGTTTAGGGCCTGAGCCTTATATATACTTTTTCCCAGTTACAATAACACATTAAGCAATTTGTTATTTCTGGGAAAAGGCAGGTTGCTGATTATTTTCTCTCGTAGTTGGTTAAAGTTGCCCCATGGCAAACCCAGTGATGATGGGGTTTTGAGGGACTCTTGAAATGCATTATGCAGAAATTCATAGAAGCATAATTGGCATTGAAGTTCATCAAAGATTGAACATATAAAGACTTGCAGATGTAGCAAATTGGCCTATGCTGTGCAAGATGAATTTACTTTCGACAAGGCAACACTGGATATCTATGTTCTTGCTTTGACTGTTAGACATATCGTGTGACATTGGGAGAGCCATACAGCCCTGTATTTGTTATGCTTGCAGTTTATTACAAGGTGCCCTATATTATGTGTGTCTCTCATTCAATATCCCTACCATCTTTCAGATGTGTGTATATTCTGTATTTCTGAATTGTTCTTATGTTCTTTATGAAATTTCATCTTTTGATACTTGGGGGTGGGCTTTGCTGCTGGTGTCATCTTGTATTTGTGACCTAGATGTGCTGTTGCATTGCTGTGCTGTAGTTTGTGAGAGATGAGCCTGGCTTGGATTTCATTTCAAATATTGTATGTTTAAGGTGTTGCGAAGAAGCCACCTTGCTGAATATGAATTCATGTGTGTATATCTTGAAGTTTCTATAAGGTTATCTTTGCTATTTGGCAGGAAGTTGATGGGCCGGAGTCAGCTGTAACAAAGCTTTTTGCGTCTGCTAAAAAGTATGATCCTAGCTCACAGTGTTTGCTGAGCTTGCCTTCAGAAGGGAAAATTCGGGTAAATTCAAGATCTATATGCAAATTATATTTATTGTCGTGATTGTAAATGGGACTGTGAAAGTTAATGTTATGTTGCCATTTGGTTTAGGCTACTGCTACTGAGGTACAGAATCTTCTTGTTGCTGGTAGAAGGAAGGAAGCTCTTCAGTTGGCACAAGAAGGTCAGTTATGGGGCCCTGCTCTTGTTCTCGCTGCGCAGCTTGGTGAGAAGGTATGTGCATATTTTTTTTAGATTTTATGAATCCATTTATTCACAACTTCCTTTTACTGTATGACTTATTGGAGGATTCTTCTTCTGTGTGAGGTTTTACAGAAAGCAATGAATTGGTAGTTTAAATTTGAAACCTATGTAATCTGTGTATTTTGCTTGAAGCTGACAAATGTCGTGTGTTGATTCAACACAGTTCTATGTTGATACTGTGAAGCAAATGGCACATCGCCAGTTCATATCAGGATCACCTTTAAGGACGCTATGCCTGCTGATCGCAGGGCAACAATATGATGTTTTTTCTTCAGAAAGTGAAGTTATTTCTAGCCATCCAAGCCTAGGCACTACAACTCAGCACCCTGCAAAGGTGATTTTTCTGCCTGATAAATATCTGCTCAAGGTCATAATGTGATTTGGGTTGGCTTAACACTTGAATTATTATTCTTTTATTTTTGATGGTTTTAACTGTGACCTTGGTGTTATGGATCTTAAGTTTCTACTTATAAACCATGTCTTTGGCTATGAGGAGATAATTGGGTATCTTTTATGGTTGTAGGCTCCATTGAATGGGATGCTAGATGATTGGGAAGAGAATGTGGCCGTCATAACGGCAAACAGAACAAAAGATGATGAGCTTGTCCTCATTCACCTTGGAGACTGCCTGTGGAAGGATAGAGATGAGGTTGCTATTTGTGCTTTCTTTTCTTTTCCTTTTTGATAATTAGGTTGCATTTTTGTTTGCTTTCTTTATTTAGGACTGCTACTTCTTTTTACGTTGGACTTATATGAGAAAGTTATGGTGCAGGTCACTGCAGCACACACCTGTTATTTGGTTGCAGAAAAAAATATCGAGCCGTTCTCTGACAGTGCCAGACTATGCCTTATTGGTGCAGACCACTTCAGATGCCCTCGAACTTATACTAGTCCTGAGGCTATCCAGGTGATTGGTTAAGTTTAACATATCCCAGTTGCAACTGGTGTAGTTTATTGCTTATTCAAGGTCTTTTCCTTTAAAAGAAATTTATATACTATTTTTTCTTCTGGGGAGTTTCTTGTGCACTTGGGGGAGTTACCAAGTTGGGGCATAATTCTTTCTAACATATCCTAATTGAACAAATACTTTCTTAGATTTGGTAAATTTTATTGAACAAATACTCATGTTGGAATGTGGTTCCATGGTCCCCCCTACAGATCAAACTGGTCTAAATTGTATGTCACTTATGGTTGAAAGTCTACAGCATTCTATTGCTATTAAGCTGATGTATGGAAAGGAGTGAGGGGATGTTCCCTGATCAGTGTCTTAAATTCGGCCACCTTGGCACCTTGGTAGCCCGCTTAGGCTGTTGAAGGCCCTAGTCGCATCATCGCCTGGGCCTGCATGGGTACCTAGGGTGGAAGGGTCTCTAATCGCTCACCTAGGTGCCCAGGAAGCTGCATAGGTGGGTGCCTAGTGCCTTGTCAAAGGGTGGGTGCCTAGTGCCTTGTCAAAGGCGGGCGCCTTAGGCGACCTTGGCCACAACTTTTCTTCCTCTTGCATTGCCTAGGTCAAGGCAGGCGGCTAGTGCCTTGGCCTGCCTTTCCCATGATCACTCTTGTTCTTTTCTTGTTCTTCTTCTTCTTCCAGGCACCAACCCCATTTATAGCCCCCACCCCCACCCTCATGGATAGCAATATATAGACCCCTACACCATGTTGCCTCTGGGATGCCTCAATAATGAGGCGCCCACCCTAGGTGGCAACACCTTTCAAATTCTTAAGCACTGTCCCCTGTTTGCAGAAGTGAGAGGGATCATTGCCTCTGTGGGATTAGTTCTTTAATGCTTATATAAAGTATTGGGATATACTGTGTTGCAAACAAATTACATAGGCATTCTGGAAGTGATGCAAATAACTGGGGATTCAGCTGGAAATATAACTAGTTGCTTGTTTCATTCAAAACAATGGATTGCTATTAGCATATACTAAGTTCACTTCTCCCTTTCTCCTTTCTGACTGGTTTGTTACTTTTGGCATTTTCATCCCAATTATTTTTGCTGGTGCCCACATCGAGGACCAGGCCGAATATAGAGTTTGTAGAGTGGGACAGGGTTGTTGGTTTACATCATGAGAGTTCAACCGGGGTTGGAAGATCACATCATGTTAATGGAAGGATAAATTGAATAAAATGAAAAAGGCTGGGTAATTTAGGTTTTATACTAGTGACAAATAATTTTCAGTACATGTGTAAAATTTCCTCTGTCCTTAGGTGCATACTACATTTGGGGTATAATGATTATTGCCTGATAAATTAGCAATCGTGAAGAGTTTTTCTACTTTAGTTATTTTGTTCCTTCGGCTCTACATAGTGAGTTGCTCTAACAATTATTTGGAATTCTGGACAGCGGACAGAAGTATACGAATATGCTAAGGTGCTTGGCAATTCCCAGTTTATTTTGCTACCCTTTCAGCCATATAAGCTCATTTATGCCCATATGCTGGCTGAAGTGGGAAAGGTTTCGGATTCTTTGAGGTGAATACTGCATCCTTCATTTCTGCTTGTTTGCTCTCAGTTTTCCTATTTAACATGGCTTATTCAGGTACTGTCAAGCTTTAACCAAGGTATTGAAGAATTCTCGTCGTGCACCTGAAGTGGAGTCATGGAAGTCCATGCTATCTTCCTTGGAGGAACGTGTACGAATCCACCAACAGGTTGGTCTTGATTATTCATATGGCAGTATCCGATGACTCAATTACATCACATTTATAACCTGATATCTTGTTTTTCTTTTTATTCATCAAACTCAGGGGGGTTACAGTTCAAGTATAGCCCCAGCTAAATTAGTGGGTAAATTTTTCACAACCATCGATAGTACCATTAACCGTATTATCGGTGCACCACCATCACCTATGCCATCAACAGCAAGCAATGTCCAAAGCAGCGATCCTGATAGCCATTTGGGTTTTCCAAAGGCAGGAAATGATTCATTAAGAATGGCCAATGCAACATTGATGCCATCAGCTTCAATGGATCCCATCAGCGAATGGACAGGAGGCAACCATGGCAACAATGGATTCACAAGGCACAGTAGAAGCATTTCAGAGCCAGATTTTGGTAGAACTCCCATTCAGGTGGAACGTTCTTCCTACAATACCTTGTGCTCTGTCTAGAATCCTTTTGTAATTTTCTAGATCCATCTCTTTCTTAAATTTATTGAAGCGTTTACTGGAACTTATTATATAGGGTACATCTGGTTCGAAAGATGCATATTCTCCAACTGATACACAGAGAAAAACATCAGCTTCTGGTGGCCCAACTCGATTAGGTCGCTTTGGTTCAAATATTCTTCAAAAAGCGGTGGGGTTGGTCTCGAGAAATCGGCAGGTAATTGCTCAATCTCTCGACTGCCTTGAAATCCTTTAATGTACCAATCAGTAACCCCCTCAATACTTTTTACTGCAAAACCTAATTGCATATGGTTTTTCTGTGGTCATTATAGGCCAAACTAGGGGAGAAGAACAAGTTCTATTATGATGAAAAGCTTAAGAGATGGGTTGAAGAAGGTGCTGAGACCCCAGTTGAAGAAGCAGTTTTGGCGCCTCCCCCAATGACTGCTAGTTTTCAAAATGGCTTTTCTGATTATAACCCAAACAATGTGATCAAAAGCCAGATCTCTCCAAATGGAGGACATGAAATAAGGTCTCCAACTCCCACCGAGCATAGTTCAGGGATCCCCCCAATTCCCCCCACGAACCAATTTTCTTCTCGTGGACGTATGGGTGTTCGCTCAAGGTATAAACCCTGCTTGAAACGTCATCTGGTTTTGAAATTCATCTTGGTTGTGATTCCGATATTCTCTTTTAAATTAGGCTGGATGGTCAGGATTTAACAGATAAAAATCCTCAACGGGTTTTTTAAGTTGATATGATCTTAGTTTTCTTTTAAATTTGGATCAATTATCTGGATTGAAGGAATGAAACTCTTTACTGACAAATGCTAACTGGTTTTGAAGTTCATGCGAGTGATGTCCCTTGTTTCTATTTTGGCTTAATGATCTGGATAGAGGAAAAGCTTGATGATCTGGAAAAAGGAATAGAACGTTTAGTGGTTTTGAAGTTCATGTTGGTTACGGGCGTCTATTTCTACTTTGGCTGGATGATATGGTTTAAAAGGATTTTGCAGGTATGTCGACACCTTCAACAAGGGCGGAGGCCCTCAATCAAATCTCTTCCAGTCTCCCTCCCTTCCCTCTGCAAAGCCAGTCTCCAAAGCAAAATTCTTTGTTCCAACACCATCTAACCCAAGTGAAAGCATTCCTGACAATGTCACAGAATCCACAAGTATGATGAACAGAGAAGACCCATTCATGTCAAATGCCCTTACATCCCCATCACCACCATCATCATCATCATCATCATCATCATCATCTTTACAAGCATCATCCTTGCAAAGACATGGGAGCATGGACAATGTGGCATCCATGGGGAATAAGGGAACAGTAGGCAATGTCCCCCGTACCTCTAGGTCCCGAGCCGCCTCATGGAGTGGTGGCTTTGCCAATATGCTTGGTGGTGAAATGGAACTTATGGATCAGAAGCCAGTATCTGTGGCCATGATAGGTATGTCTCCACCATCATCATCAACCCCCACTTCATCATTGATGGGCGGCATAGGCACTGCATATATGCCTGTGAATGGTGGCAACCTCGGTGATGATTTGCAAGAAGTAGAGCTGTAACTTACGGCCAGAGATGAAGAGTTGGGAGGGGTTCCATGTCATTGCTTGATTTCTTGAGATGTTGGCTGCTGGCTGTTGATCCAGGCACCCCTCCCAACTAAGGGGACTCCATCTCGACTGGTCATTTCTCTGGATAATTGTATTATTTAATCAGAATGTATTTTTGATATTTGGAGCTGATTTCTTGTAATGATTCAGAAAGAAGGTGGGTTTGACGGCCTAGATCGATGTCAAGATCGATCTGGAAGTTGGTTATTTTTTCTCGCAAGGGCCGAGATCATGTGGGGATGCCCAACAGGTCATGGGACTGTCCCCTTGTATATATTTCATTTGTTGATTTATTGGAAGAAATTTTACTTCTTTTGGGAGTTCTTGAGGTAGAGTTTTTCCACCAAGTTCCTTTAAGTGGAAAATTGCAAAACAAGATGGAAATGTTGTGATGTTATATTTTCCTTGGCATACCTAGTGGAAAATTGCAAAATAAGATGGAGATGTTGTGATGATACAATTTTTTTGGGCATCGTTGGAGAATTGAATGCTTTTAACTGGGGACATTCCTGCACGTTTGTGTTCACTTTGTTCATTTCCATGGAAAATGGTGTAAATTGATCATCTCAAAAATTTCACTAGAAGAGGTTGTTTTGATGTTCAAATGTCTTAAAATTGATTATCTTGACATCAAGCTGCATGGACATGAGACAAAAATAGATTTCAAGTTTTGGAAATAGTGTATCTTATCATGTATTTTTGGATCGTCAATTTTCAAGATTTTCAAGTTTTTTTAGATTTACTCGATCTACACTATTTTTGAAGATTTAAAATTTATAATTAAAGATAAAAATATATTTTAATGTTATCACAAAGATTTTCAGTATTGAAACCACATTTCACGATACTATTTAAAGGTGCATTTTACTTCAATTGTTTAGAGTACAAACCGTACACTTAAAAATGTTTTTTAATTTTTCATATTAGCGATATGCGAAACTTTTGTTTTTTTTATTAATACTCAATTTGTCTTTGCTATGGGTGCTAGATTCGTGGGGCATAACAACGCCTCAGATCCAATAGATCCGCAACACAAAAATTATACAAAATGCACCACAACCATATATATCCATAGCGCTCTGGGGGCGCCACGAACATTTTATATCCATGATGCAATAATCCAAGGCGCAATAGTGCCAAGCATAGACGGTACCGAAGTACCACTGATATATTACTGTCTGTGGTACCACAAGGCAGCACGAACATAATATAATCGTGACGCTTTGTTACGCCTGTGGTACCACAAGGCAGCACAAACATAATATAATTGTGACGCTTTGTTGCACCCCAAATAGCCCCAGTTCAGGGATTTGGAGTTTTAAATTGGCGTATTTTGAGAAAAATAACATTATTTGAAAGAAGACATTGATAGTAAAATACAAAATATAAAGAAAAAAGCTTATATAAGGTGCCAACCATGTTGCACACCTCAAAAACCCAATAAAAAAGGTTGTTTTGACGTAAAAAAAACACTCAAATTGATCACCTCAAACTTTGAAATGTATGGATACAAAAAGAAAAATAATTTTAAGTCTTAAAAATTTTATAACACAATATTTGGACTATTTTCAAACTTTTCAAGTATTATCGATTACACAAATTTTGAACCTTTGAATTTTATAATTTTTGGAGCTGGGATCAGTGGAAATTTTCCTATATTATGATATTTTTTATTGCACATAAAATGATCTTTATCTTTAGTTCCCTTTCTAAATAAGAACAACTGTAGTATTGAACCTATTTTAATTGTTCTTAGATTTCTCACTGTTTCATATGTTTTGCGACCACGGTACGATGTACTTGCCTGTGTAGCATGTGAGGCACTCGCAGAGAGGGAGAAGATCAGAGAGAGTAGTTGAGGGAGAAGCTCATAAATGGGGTCCTCGTCTCTTCAGGGTGTTGCATCACTGGCATTCTCTCCTACCCATTCTCGCCTCTCGCGCACTCGACGACCCAATGTTTGTTGTTTGCCTCTGAAAGCCAGAAGCGATCAAAGTCCCTTTCAAATCGAAGGAGAGCTTCACTTCAATTCTAAGGTAACTCGTACCATCTAAATCGCAATCTCTCTCTCTCTCTCTCTGTAGTTTTTCTAGTTTATTTTATTTCTCTATGATGATACCTTCTAATACATCTAAAATCGCGTTCTTTCCCTCTGTAAATTCTCTAGTTTTGTTTCTTTTTCCATGAAGATGCACCTGACGAAAATACCAAGTTAAAGGTTCTGCCTTTTGTTGGTTGTTTTTGAAATTTCTGTGCTTCCCATTTCATGGTTTGTTCCGGTAGTTAGAATGATCATCATTGTAGAAATGGGGAAAATTGCAGTTCCTCATTTCGTGTTTTTGGGTTTTCCTCCTTCAAATTGAAGATATGAGTGGTGGGTTCTAAGTGTTTTGTGCTCTCTCTCTCTCTGTGATGGGCTATTAGTGTTTTGTGCTCTCTATCTTTATCTATCTGCAGGGTAGATTCCAAGCCTTTTCTTTCTCTCCATATTTGATTCCATATCTCCTGTTCTCTCTTTGTATCTCCCTCTCTCTGACTCTCTTTGGATGGTTGTATGGGGTTGAGGGCCTGGGCTACTGTAAGTTTGAAATGATTGTTTGTGAACTTTGTTCGTTTTGTATGTCTATTTTGTACGTAAAATTTTGTTAGGTACGTTCAATAATTTGGTTGAACCCTTGCCTTTTCCTTTTGATTACTTGTCCCATGGTAATAAATTTGATCACATAGATTTTTCCCTTTCCTTTGAAAGAACATGTGTTCGTGTTGTTGAGTTTGGGTAATTTTCCGGAAATATTATAATTGGGCATTAACTGATTCATAATTAAACTTGGGTTTTGCATCTTTTCCTGTTCTATTGATCATTTAGGCTTCCGGGTTTGAAATTTGACATTCAAGTTTTTTCTCTTCTGAATTGAGGTGAACATGAGTGGATTGTTTTTTAATGGTAGGTTGAGAAGTTGTTAGATTGCATAAAGTGGGACGACAAAGGTTTGGCTGTTGCGATTGCTCAAAATGTGAACACAGGAGCTATCCTAATGCAAGGGTTTGCAAACAGGGATGCACTTGCAACGACCCTCTCATCTCGAAAGGCGACTTTCTACAGTCGGTCTCGGTCTTCTCTGTGGACTAAGGGAGAGACGTCAATGAACTTCATCAATGTGCTAGACGTGTTTATCGATTGTGATCATGATTCTGTAAGATTTCCTTGCTTTGAATTTGGGAGTTTTATGGTATATCTGTTTCATTTTGAGGGAGGGTGGGAGGGATAGGGTTTTATAATAGATCTGTTACATTTTGAGGGAGGGAGGGAGGAAGAGAGAGTCACATTAGATGCATTCTTAATTTCTGTTGTGATTTGTGTGGTTAATTTGTCTTAAATGTTTGCCTTCTCTTGGTTGATTCTTTCGGTTTCATTGTAAATTAGTCATTCCTTTGTTGTTGTGATCTTTCTTTGATTTTGATTTGGTTCATGATTGCCATTTCAATCCTATAGGCTCTTTGGGCTTCAATTTTTATAGTTTCGTAGTTGACTTTTCCATTATGGTAATTTGTTGTGTTTGGTGTTTTAATTTTGTTCTTTCCATGTGATAATTCAATCACATTTATTTGGTGTTGGAAGTTGTTCATTTGTATTGGTTACTTTTCAGATAATATATCTTGGGAAGCCTGAAGGACCTACATGTCATACAGGGGAAGAGACCTGCTATTTCACTTCTGCTTTAGATCTTATGCAACCTTCAAAGGTTCGCTAACACAGTATTTTAGATTTCATTTCATATAATTTGAGTTTGGGGTTGTAGTCCAAATTTTGGAATCTTTCTATACCAGTAAAAAGAACTGCATTTTACAGGATGAAGCAAATAGGCTGGCATCTACAACTTTGTACTCATTGGAGTCCACAATATATGAACGTAAAGATAATCTAGGAGCAAACCCGAACGAAAAACCATCATGGACAAAACGATTATTACAAGATGAGAAGCTCCTATGCTCCAAAATCCGGTATATATTTTGGGATAGTTTTATCACTATATATATTGACATTTGCAATGTAGTGATGTGTGTTGGTTATAGTTCCTTACATGATATGTTGCAGATTCCTTTGATGTATTTTTGTAATTTAATTAGATCTTTGTTTTGATCTATTGGATCAGATGGAATTTGTTAAAGAAGCCATTCGTTTATAGTGTGAAAGATTCAAGAATCTAGGGTGTCATATGATTGTAAATGTGCAGATATGTAATCATATAGCTATCATAGGCCTTTCGATTTTCTTCTGGGATGTCTATAATTTAGTCCAAATGTATTTGTGTACATCTATATATGCATGAGCACCTTATCATGTTAATTAATGTGATTTATGCCTTGATAAATATAGCTTCACTGTGGGCCTTTCATTAACTATTGGCTTTGGTGGCTTTGATGATTGCAATAATCTTACAAGATGTCCCCAATTGAAAGCTAAGAATACATGTTGTCATTGTGATTCCACTGCACTTTGTAAACAATACCTCAATATTCTGTTTTGTAGTAATCACTTCTAAGTATAACCATTTATTTCAGGTCATTTAGCTTTCAAGAAATTATTTATCCTAGGCTGTTTCTATCATTATTAGCTTTGTTATATTAATAAGTTTGTTACAAAGCTTATAGTGGCGAACTTGATAAATTCTCTTTTTTGCAGTATACTTCCTCATGCGATATTGAGCTTAAAAGTTTGTTATAGACATGACCTCATCCACCATTCTCATCACATCTTCCATATATGCATTGTTTTCTAACGATGGATTGATACTGTTTGTAACAATTGTCATTTGATACATGTCAGAAAATGCTGATGTATGCAATTTTCCATGAATCCAAATTATTGATTACATTAGAATAAGTTGAACCAGAATTAATTATATAAAAAAAATGTTCAACTACAATTTGTGGCTCCACAATCCACATGGTTTATGTTTTCTCAAAATGTGAATGCATGAAGAGAGGTGGATAAGGCAAAGGTGCACACATTGAGCAACCAAAGTTCATCCTGGTAAAGGGACTTCTTTTATTTAGAGTCTACATATTACAGTCCCAGGGCACTTGTAGACACCCTGTTTATCGTACATCTGAAGTGATATTGCAGTGGAACATCTCTGCTTAACCAATCTACATACTTGGGATTGAAGAGAGAGAGAGGACAAATCACATAAGAAAGAAGAATACACATTTTGGGGGCAGATAATACATTTTGGGTGTTTTGCCTTTATACCTTGTCCCTATAGTCCTCTTGAACTTGAAATATTTCTATGACCTCTCAGCAATCTTGCATTATCCTTTATATAGGATTCCATGTATATGTCTCTTAATGGGGACAGTTGAGCAAAGTGGGAATGGTTATTGCAATAGTGAGTTGGTAAAATTGACTGATGCGTCGAAAAGTAGTTGTGAAGCCTGTATGAACGCACATCAACTTTCTTCAGAATGAGACAATTGTCTTATAACAGAGTTGGTTATGCACCTGACTTCCAGGAGGAGCACGTGTCCATAAGGAAGTGGGCTCCACGCGTAACCTCCACATTTTGCATGTTGCGGTTGCTGGTTTCTCGAACCTTATCCATTAGCAGATTATGAGATATGACTTATCACTATGGATTCTTCAATATTGTATCAGCGAATCGCTGACCTAATACTCGAGTCACTGACTCAACATTGAGTCACTGGGTTATTGACCCAAATGTCACTTCAGATGATGTTGGACAGTATGTGCAATCATTCTGAAGCATGTGATGATGACAATTTTGATTGAGAATGGTTCACGAAGGACTAGTTATCAGTTGCGAGGATGAGCAATATAGGTTATGGGCCTTTGTAACATGAACTTTCATATAAAGAATGAGTCATACAAGGCACTATCTCTGAGGCTTGAGCAGGGTATCAATTGCTTATTCCGGCTATTTAAAAGTACCTATTGCTGATGAATGCACATCATATTCTTCACATGTAAATATTGGATTTAATTCTTCCTGAATAGGTTGTTTGGAATGTTAGTAACTGTATAGAATTGACTATTGATAAGGGGCTTATCATATGTTCCTTACAACAGATAGTTGGGCAATTCAGCTAGGGCACTTATTGCATCAAGTGCCATGTTTATGACTTGATTAATATTGATCTATTTTGTGATTGTCACCTCAAGGCAATGGTGCACCATAATTGATGCATTAGAACCTCTATGGTTCTCACTAAAGTATTTTATGCCAATTTGGTAGAATTTTCCTATAAAAATGCTCCATGTACAAAACAAGGGCATATAAGTGTCCAAAATTTATTGAGTACAATTATAAAATGCTCTATAGTGTGAGCACCTAACATAATCCTTATTTATATATTTATATAATGGATGTGGTTTGTATAGAGCCGAGGCTCTAAACAATCAAAGTAAAGCTTACCTTCAAATAGTGCCTAGAAATGTGGTTTTGATGCTGGAAATCTTTGTGAAAGTCTTAAAATATATTTTCATCTTTAATTATAAAATTTAAAGCTTAAAAAATAGTGTAGATCAAGCAGATCAATGAAAACTTGAAAATCTTGAAAATTGAAGGTCCAAAAAAGCGTTACAAGATGCACTATATTCAAAACTTGAAATTCATATTTTTCGCATCTCCATACGTCTTAATGTCGAGATGATCAATTTAAGGATATTTGGGCATCAAAATGACCTCTTCTAGTGAAATTCTTGAGGTGGGATCTAGTTTGATTGTTTAGAGACTTGGCTCTATATGAACTTTTTCCTTATATAATTGTGTTGTGATTGCCCAAAGGATATCATTCAAAAAATGAACCAACCATTATAACTGGCTTATTTACAGATCTCAACCTTTCCAAACTTCTAGGTTTAATCAAACATAGATTGTCAAGCGTCCTTAAATTCCAGGCATCTTATTAAACACAGTGATTGCTAGTTCCTGATAGTTAATGTTATAGTTCCTAGGAGAGAGGTACTTTCAGTTTGCAAGGAAAGTTTGAGTTCTAGTTACCAATAGGCCCTTATAGGGGCTTTACAAACAAGCATCCTAGTTCTAGGCTATTATATGAATTTGGTATCATAGATAACTTGTTGCACCCTTTTAGAGAGGCTTTCAAACCTACGGGCCTCGTTTTGAGTTTATTATATATGCTTGGGCATGCAGTTCCTTCCTTCTCTATGACACTCTTTATGTGTGTGTGTGGGAGGAGAGAGAGAGAGAGAGAGAGAGCTGATCCAGCTTAATTTCATGCTTTATTTGAGATCTACCATTCACTATTTCCTGTGCATGGACACACGATGCCTTTATCAAACACTTTCAGGGTGCATTTCCTGATCATGAGCTCTCTCTCTCTCTCTCTCTCTCTATATATATATATATATATATGAAAGCTACTATGCAACGCCTATGGGCGAAAATGAACAGTGTTTTCGCCCATAGGCTCGGTGCCATCCGATTTTTTTGGATGGCACGGAAAAATCGATCTCATCGAACATATTATGTCCATTGTGGTACTGCAACATGCATAGTATGTCCGGTGCGGTCAATTTTTCCTCGCTAAACCGCAACGGCTCTCCTCTACGATAGCTGTTGCAACTTTCAATGTTCAAAAAACACTAGGCGGCGCCTAGGCTGCCGGGGGGGTCTAGGACGCCCAGCGCCTAGGCGGGCGCCTAGAACCTAGGCGACCAGTAGAAAGAAAAATGTCTCTATAGTCTAACTGTGTAAGTATAACTGTATAACACATAAGAGTTAATTAGGGCACATCAAATGTATTGTACACAAGTCCACATAGCACACACTCTTCCATACTCCATGAGTCCATAGTTTGATAGTCCACTAAATCTAATATCAATGGGTGATGCTTAGAGCAATTTCTCGTAACTTTGAGAAGCCCTTCGATCATATGGAAATCATCAAAAACTAGTTTTTTGGGGTTTTGTCTCTCTAAAATATGCTCTAATGGGGTTTAGGTTTCAAATGAACCTAAAACCCACGATTTTTTCCCAAAAAATGTTCTCAATGAGGTTCATTTCTGGCCCAAGGCTGGGCGTTGGGCACCCAGGGACAGCCCGCCTAGGCTTGGGCGAGGCACCCAGGCCTTTTGGACCGCTTAGGCGCTGGGCGGTCCGCTTTTTAAAACATTGGCGATTTTTTCAGGCTAAACCGCTTGCGGGGCGAAAATACTGTATACTTTTGCCCCATGGAATTTTAAGACTTTTCCTTTATATATATATACACACACACACACACGTATAGAGAGAGAGAGAGCAATTCCAACTTAATTTCATGCTTTATTTGAGGTCTACTATTCACCATTTTCACATGCATGGACACATGCGGCCTTTATCAAAGCCTTGTCAGGGTGCATTTCCTGGTCATGAGTTAATTTTGTGAATACATACTTATGCAGGGAGGAGGCAGATGAATTGTGCCGAACTTTGGAGGATAGAGAAGAGAGTTCTCGAACTGCTTCTGAGATGGCAGACGTGCTTTACCATGCCATGGTGCTGCTTGCAGTTAAAGGCATTAAAATGGAGGATGTTCTTGAAGTCCTTAGGGCTCGTTTCTCTCAGTCGGGGGTCGAGGAAAAGAAGGCTCGGCAGTTGAACCACTAATTTTGATGATTTGATTTGTGCTGTAGCGATATTGTTATAAAATTGTACTCCGTACCCTGGCCCTGGTCTTCTTTTCATGAACTTGGGTTATACAATTTTGAATGTTGCATTTTATTTTGTTGGGGTCATGCACAACACTAAGCAAATATCATGGATCATAGAAGGTGTTTTGGCATGTTTTTTGTTTTGCATCAAAGATGATCTTGATTTAGGTTTATTTGGAAATTAGAGTCCAGGACAGCAGTTGAAAAGAGTGTCTGTGAAATGCTTGTTTTGTATCCATCAAATAGTATTTTGTTGATAATTTTTGCTAGGTATCTTCGCATTGAGATACGACAATTGGGTTGAATCCTTGCCTTTTCATTTTAATTGCTTGTCCCGTGGTAATAAATTTGAATATACGGGTGTTTTTTCCCCGTTACTTTGAAAGAACATGACTCGACATCGTTGAGATTGGTTAAAAAATTGTTAGAAATCATGTACTTGGACATTAACTGATTCATAATTAATATTGATGTTTGAATCTTTTCTTGTTCTATCATTTGGATTTTCAGGTTTGAAATTTGACAATTAAGGTTTTTATCTCTTCTGAATTGAGGTGAACATGAGCGGATTATTATTATGGTGGGTTGAAAAGTTGTTAGTGTAAAATGGATGCAGTGGTAAACAGGGGCTATCCTAATGCAAGGTTTTGCAAACAGGGATGCAGTTGAAATGACCCCTCATCTCGGAAGGACACTTTCTACTGTGGTCTCGGTCTTCACTATGGGCTATGGGAGAGACATTGAAGAACTTCATCAATGTGACTAGATGTGTTTCTTGATTGTAATCCCGAGTCTCTGTAACCTTTCCTTGCTTTGATTTTGGGAGTTTACTACTGTTAAATTTTATTGTAGATCTGTTGCATTAAGAGAGAGTCACATTAGATGCATTTCTTGATTGTTAACATGGTTTTATGTGGTAATTTCTCTTGAATGTTTGCCTTCTCTCAGTTAATTATTTGGGGTCATTGCAAATTAGTCATGCCTTTGTTGCTGTGGCCTTTCTTTTGAGTTATTTTTATTTTATTGTAATTTGTTGTATTTGGTGTTTTTCTTTTGTTCTTTCCATTTGGTAATTGGATCCTATTTGCTCTGGTGTTGGAAGTTGTTTTTATTTCGTCGGTTTCTTTTTAGATAATATAGCTTGGGAAGACTGATGGACCTACACGTCTCACAGGAGAAGGGACTTACTATTTCACTTTTGATTTAGATCTCATGCAACTTTTGAAGGTTTGCAAACACAATATTTTAGATTTCATTTCATACGATTAGGGCTTGGGAATGTAGAGTACAAAATTTTGAATCTTAAGATACCAATAAAAAGAACTGTATATTACGGGTTGAAGCAAATAGGTTGTCATTTGCAACTCCATAATGATTGGAGTCTACAAACTAAGAATGTAAAGCTGATCTAGGAGCAAGCCCAAATGAAAAACCATCATGGACAAACGGTCAGCCTGACGAGAAGCTCTTATTCTCCAAAGTCCAGTATATATCTTTAAATATTTTTTTCACTATCACTGTACAGATTCAAAATTTGTTTTTATCACTATACGTTTTGACATTTTGAACTGTAGTAATATGTGCTGGTTATAGTTCTTTACATGGCCTTTTGCAGTTTCCTTTGATAATTTAATAATTTAATCAGGTCTACTTCGATCAATTGGATCAGATCAGTACTTTGATGAAATTGTTTAAGAAGCCATTATTTGTTAGTGCGAAAGATTCAAGAAGCTATGGGTTCATTCATTGTTTTAAAATGCGGGATGCTTGATGCGGTGGGGGGCCGATGCGGTGATGCGGCTCGATGTGGCCCGGATGCTTGTGCATCGCGATGATGTGGTCAATAAATGTAAAAAAATTATAAAAAATCTAAAAAAATAAGTTAATGCATAGAAAAAAATATGAAGGTGATATATGTGATAGTAAGTATTTTAGTTTAATGATTAACTTCAAAACGTATTAGCTGTCGGAGATTTTGTATCCAGTTATCAACTATCCCCTGATAGAAATTAG